CCTCTGCCATGGCCTCCAGCCATGCCCTGTGATATAAATAACTGAAACGCAAGTACTTCAACACATTCACCATGGCAAAGTCGCTCATCTCCTTCACAAAAGAGAGTGCCTTATCGACAATGCGAGTCACTGCACTCTCAGATATTGAAGTTTGGGATTTAAAGAGTCCTAAGCATATAACACCAACCTCCTCAGGTCGCAATTGTAGCAAATGATGCATGAGAAGCTGCTCCAGAGGACGGATCAAGTCTTTTGGACACTGCCTACCCTCTCCCAATATATACAACAGTTGGACCAGCTCGGGCACGCCCAATTGTCCCAGATGCAGACGAACAGAGTCATAGAGGTGCAGTAGGAACTGAGGTGCCTGCTTCCCTATACAGCGCCACAAATCAGCAGCTAAAATCAACTGATGCAAAGTCATCTGACTGGACCGGCGACTCAGCTCAGTCTCGTACAGTTCGAGTACAGTGTGGGCAGAGGGCATGCCCAGCCACACAAACGACTGCAGCACCTCCAGCAGCTGAAGTTGAGTAAAGTAGCGAAGGTGTTCCACGGAATATCGGAGGAGCATGATGAAGCGCTGGTCACTCCTCACTAACGGCATCTTGTCTGGGTGCAATCGACTGAGCTCCATAAGAAACTGAGACACATCAGATGCTTTCATGCTGCCCTTTAAAACAGCCACTTTTTGGAGCAGCTGCATTGCCTCCTCCCATTTGAGTGGGTGAGATCTTTGTTTAAGGTCTAGGCTCATTGAGGCATACTCTGGTCTGCATTTGTGGAAGGCACGCGTCTCTACTTTAACATCTGGTAGTACAGGCTTTCTCTGGTAAGAGGACGCTGAGGGGATCTCCGGTTCAGAGCTTTTATTGAAAGCCAAGTCCAGAAGAGTGTTCTTTGAGCTGGAGAGGTGTCGTGAGCAACTCACACTGTAGCGATTGCTCCGTTGCCAGAAAGAAGGTGCGAGAGTGGGTAGACACTGCTCATCTTCATCGTTGTCTGTTTGGCTATGGGAGGCTGCAGAGTTCAATGCAGAGTGATGATATGAAGAAGGGCTGTAACGGAGCCTGTAACCTTCTAAACATACTTCATTGTGCTGCGACAAGATTCTCTTTTCCTCCAGATCATCAGCTTCATCCTCTGGTTTGATATACGCATGCTGAGCCCTAGCAAAGCCTTTTCTCAGGCCTGGGAGGTGGCGTAGCCTGGGCATCCAGCGACACACCACACAGGTAGCCATGGGTGTACCACACTAGAAAACATAGCAAAATACAGCAAAACAAAAGTCATGTGCCAAGTCAAGTAATGTGCCAAGCAAAAACATATCTTACAAATGAATAAATTATACATTGTTTGTATTAAAACCACAATTAAAAAGATACAGATTCATACAGATGAGCTTCCTTGTTAGTTTTTAAAGGTTGAAACTTTAGACACAAACATAAAGCTGCTTGTCAATAGTGACATACACTATTTTTTTGTTATGGTGGCTATAATAATGCACTTTGTAGCTCTTTCCGAGACTGACTACAATACATGATATTTCTCTCTTAAAATTACAGTTTAAACTAAACGATAAACCTAAATTATTTAGAGATTTACATGTTAAAGTAGTCTGTCCATCTGTAAACCAACAGAGGTCGGACACGTTTTAGAATGAGACAGCAGGAAACACGATGCTAATTTAAACTACACTAAACTAAAAGTGCACAAATCTGTATGTATTTTAACCAGATCGTTGAACTGACCTTTTACGATCCAAAAGCAACACGTGCAACGGTGAGAAACCTCAAGAAATCATGGCAGGAACACACAGCATTAGTCTGTTAGAACGACTCTTCTGACAGACCTACGGCAACCCCACCGGAACTCGTGAATTTGATTTTCAAAATAAAATAAACTTTACATTATCAGCTACATTGTTATACGCATACATATTCTAAAACAAATTAATACATCAATTTGAAATATAGAGCACTGTATTAGCACGCCGCATTTTAATTTAATCCTTAGATTTAATAATAATTGCCTGTAAAAGTACCGTGTCTGACTGTATGATATTATTATGGCAGGTTGATCTAACTTCCGTGGAGAGCAGCGTGTGACCTATGGCAGCTGGGTAGGTTCAAAACTACTCATTCAACGAGCCGCAATGAGAACACATCAGCAATAACACAAGTTGTGTTAACTGAAACTAATTAATAATAATTATTACATTTGATTAAAACAAAAAAACACCCTACCTGACCTAAGATGTTCGCATACCATAAAAACCATTCATGTTTAAATCTTATTTTACATCAGTACCCAGTAGTACATAAATAAATGTGATTCTGGAACTAAGAAACAATATAGATATACAACAATTTTTGTGATAATTACTTTTATATTTTATGTTGATTCAATGGTTACAGTACTGTGCAAAGGTCTTGAGCTACCTTGTTTTTTAATTCGTTGCTAGGAAATGGGAAAGAGCTTGAAAGTCAGTATTTGGTAAGACTAACTTTATGCGTCAACATAACTTGGACTATTTTTTTTTCTTATTTGTTAATTACATAACTTTCATGTACTGTTCATCTGCTCTAACATTTTTAAGGCCTGCCACTTCTTCTTTTGTGTTCCAAGCTCTTTGGGAGTCAACTTGTTAGTGCAAAAATACTATTTTATATTTTATGTTTTTATATGGCAGATATTATTTATAGATTTTTTTCATATTTATAATTCAACAAAAAAAATGGGAACACATTCTGTGTTTTTTGACAGGCTTCTAGTAAAGAAGATGCAGAAAAACAATTTAAAAGTTCTTTGCTAAGTTGTCTGTTTTTTGTAGATACAAAACTGCTTCAGCCTTAGAGTTTGGTAACTTTTTTTTTTATGTTGGAACGATTCAGGACGGAACTGAAAATGAATAAAAACATCCAATGTTCAAAGAAAAATGTTAGCATATCTTCAGAAAACCTGGCATTTAATTCATTGGAAGCAAAATATTAAGAAAAAAGGGGTAACTCTTTTTCGTATTTGTTGTGTGAGAAGCTGAGCTATCAAACTAGGTTATACTGTAAAACATGTTTTATTTTTAAAATCTATCAATTTTTTTCTTTTCTTTTTCCCTTTCTGTTCATTTAGGTATGACCCACGTTAATTATTATTGCCCTGTTTAGATGTTCCATATTTTATTCAAGTGTGTTTATTCTAATATTTCTACACATAATAATTTCTTAATTCCAAAATGTACTGCCCAAGTCTAAAACAAGTTGTATATCAGAAGATATGTAAGGGCCCAGACACTTGCTGCCATTTGAAGTCTTTAAGTTTTTTCACTCTATAGATCCTGTCTTGCTCCTCCTTACTGTTGTTTCAAATTTTTATTCTTTTATTAATAAATTTGTTAATTTATTTTAAAACAGCAAACAATTCATGTTCAGTTAACTTGAATTGTTTGCGTTTTACAGATAATGAAAATGACCAATCTAATCAATTTGATTTAAAAAAAACAAAAACATAAAAGTTGGTTGAATAGAAAAATATCTGGTTTTGATGTTTTTCTTTCTCTTAAATGCAACACAACTTGTTTCTGTGAAAGATTCATTCCTAACACTAAAACTGTCTAAGATTCAGTTTAATTATAAAATTGTGGTGAGTAAATTCTAAGTGTTTTAGTTTAGTTTTATCACACTTAGGCAAGCTCACTGTCACATTTTTACCACATGAGATTCTACATATTCTCTTCAAACACCTCGACTTTAAACAACAGTTGTTGCTGTTGTTAGTTTTTGAAGATTTCCACTATATGCTGTATCCATTCTATGCCTGCAAAAAAACACTGTTAGCAAAATAAAAGATTGATTTGTAATGTTGCCACCCCCATGTTTTTGTTTGCTTGTTTGTTTTTTGAATCCTCAAAGTGAATTTTAGGAAATGTTAAATATGTCACAGAAATAACAGTTGAAGTGAGACTTCTTTGAAATAGTTATTGTATCTATTTTATTTGTTGTTGTTTTTTTCATTAAAGTGCAACATCATAATCGTTCATATGTTTTCAATGCAATGCTTTCTGTCACTGAAATTAACATTTGCATTTCTCTTCTGTTTGAGCAGAAAAGGCAACTTCAAAATCTGTGCCTCCATTGTGTGACTTCACACATGAATGAATCCAGGGGTTAGAGGTGAACTACACTGACCTATGTGCAAGACAATTCTCTCATTTCTGCTGGGAACACTTCTTATGTCCTTTCAGCAAAAGACACTGAGCCATGTAGGTGGCCTTTGGATTCCCTTTGTAAAACTTGTTGCTGACATTAGTGAATATTTTTATGTTACTAAATGTTACAGTTCAATTGTATACAGAAGCATGGTGGTATAGTCTTTCATTAAACTAAAGATAAAAATCTATTATAATATTTTTTTAATTTATCTAATATTGTAAATAATGGCAAATAAAAAACAAAAAAAAAAAACTAAAACATAGAAAGTCGAAAAATTGTATCATCATTATTATTCGTTTAATTTCTAAGGTTCTGTTTTGGTTACACTGCGCCAAATTCTGGTCAGCTACAAATCTGAAAAGCCATCCCAGAAAATTCCCCAAATAATACGTTTTATGTAGTAAACAGATTTAGCACACAGACGTATACTATCATCCAGTTTAAACAAATAGAAAACATTTATTTTTCGTTAGATCGAATTATTTTAAGAATGTATTAAATTTCATAAAACATTTTTATTCCACGTGTAAACATCACCAAAATCAACTTAGAGAGCCTTAAGGCGTCCCGTCCAGTGATTATAATGGGAGGCAATTTGATATATTTTCCCCTATTGAAACGGCTTATCTATGTGACCACCTTTGTATGTATAGCTACAATATACGAATTAAGTGAGGAAACTTCAGAGTCCCACTTGGAGAGGAAGTAGAGGATTTATGCTAATGAAGGAGTTGAGGCTCCGCTACGCTGGCTGGGAACCGCCCTTCATTCACCACATGGTTAAAAGGAGAGTCTACTCGCGCCACTTTCGCAATCTTACTACGATTCCCAAAATCCTAGCAAATCATAATAGTAGCACATGGTTGTGCACTTTTTGGAGGGGGTTACACGTCTTAGCCGATGTTTAATCTGTGAAGTCTGTGTTCTTTTTTTTAAATTTTGCAGATGTCCAAGAAACTGGGTAAACGGTAAGTCTGAACAAGTGAGTGAAGATGGTGGATTTTTTTAGTGTCTTATAAGGCGCGTGTTGTTGGCAAGAAACCTGTTGTTAGCCTTTTTTTGGGAGATGCGGTAAACGTCGGGAAAGTGAAATTCGCTGGGTTGACTTCGGTACGTGTGTGCGCTCTAACGTATATGCGAGGAGGGGAGAAGAAAGCGTTTTAATGGTCAAGTTTCCGCATTTTTAAAAACAAATGTTGTAGGAGCGCATGGCAACCTCTCCTCCATGGCAGGAGAATGAGGGAGATTTGAAAAGCATGTGTTGCCGCTGCTGTTGCACCTCTTGTCGGTACCTCGGGGAAGTGGTCCACACTCGTAAAACGATAAAATTAAATAACCGCTACAAATTTTGGCAAAAGCCCCAAGTTGTAGACTCACGTGCCCGCGCTGTCAGCCGTCTGTTTGTAGAATTTTTAAGTTTTCAGTCATTTCGGGTTGCAGTGGTGTACATTTAAAAGTGCCTCCAGAACAAAGCAGCAGCAGCAGCACATGGGGTTCTAGCAGGCCGCGCGCCTTTGCTATCCCGCGAGCTGCCGAGTTAGCGGCTAACGCTAATATGCCAACAAAAACATTGTGATTTTATAATAATAACATAATTGTCACTAGCTGCGCGGGCTCTATTATGTTTATTCAAATGCCGCTGTCGGCGTTTACAAGCACCTGGGAGCACGTGTACTGATCTCTAATTAGCATGTGTGAGTTAGCCAACTTAGTTGTTTCAGTATGGCTAAGACAAGGGGCAATACAATGCTTAGAAGTGGATGGGGAGTGGAAGCTAATATCCAAACATTACCAGCATACTTCATGAGATTACTAGGGTATTGGATTAAGTGTTGTCTTTAAGGAATACTGATAGGTGAACAAACTTTAATTGGATAATTATCTAAACAACTAAACACACTGTAGCAAGCTGCACGCGTTAGCCTGTTTGGCTAGCGCATGCTTACAGCAGACTGTTTTGATGGAGCCCTCGCGTAACTACTAGCTTGTGTGGTGGATTCTGCGTTTTAAGTTTGGAGCAGTTGCGGTCTCACGCGTGGTCCACAGACTAGTCATTATAAGCGAACGCCTCACGTGCGGCCAGTTTTAGCTGCGTGTGTGTGCACGGACACTGTAACATCGTCGATGTAGTCCCATGTGCTGTTCTTGCAGTGGCTATTAGGGTTTTTTTTTTTTTTTTTTTTTTTTTTTTTTTTAAACTGTGGACTCCTGGGCGCCATGTTAGCGGGTGGGGGAGGGGTACAGAAATGTGGCTGGAGTACAAGTGTTGGTATCCATGAACAGTCCCGGTTCAGACTCCTGGTTTATCATTTAGCTTTAAGGTGTTCGAGGTTATTGGCGTCTCTGACGCTATCATCTCGATTGCCATGCGGGAAGCTTGGCTGCTTGAGATTAATTGGAACAGAGTTTTGGGTTTGGGGGGGGTTGTAAACGGACGCATGGTGTATAGCTACTCTTGAATAACAGTTTTTGCAGAATGTCCTGAACGTTATATGAATGCAACGATTGAAAGTGAGTGGGGTGTGCATACAGAGGGGGGAAAGTCTTTCATGGAACCTCAAAATATGTGCAGAGATGGCAAATAATTGTCCAGGATTAGCAAGGACAATTTAAGCACTCAATAAATGTGCATGTATTTGTGTAATTAAATTAATGATTTCTCCAGCAACTTAAAAAAAACTTGATGCCTAAAAGGGTTTATAATATCTTGACCACTAAAAATCGTCATGAAGTTTAGCCTTACAAGGACCATTCTAGTTGGGAGGGAAATGGTCTTTTCTGAGTGAGTTCATACTAATCACAGTACTCTTTGCCCGTTCAACTTTGTCAAGACTCTGCAGATGTATGAGATCGTTACTGTATACTGAGTTTGATCTTTTGAATTTTTATTAGAGAAAATTACCTACGTCAAAACTTGTCAAACTGCAGCTAACCTCTAACATTTGGTAAACCACAAACTGATACATGTTAGGCTTGAGTTGGGTATAAACTTTCTTGTATAATGTCTTTGTGTATCTTTTTTGTTATTCCTACTGTTAATGCTACATCTTATTTATCCCTACAGAACCCCATTCACATCTGTCTCCTGGGCAGTCGTCACTGTGGCTTTAAAGGCACAGTAATGCAGTCTGTGAGGAGAACGTCACACGAGCAGTTTACAGTCACTGTAGTGCCAAAGTGCTTACAGTGCAGGTAGTTTTGTTCAATTCTACTGCAGTGAAGGCACTTTCAGCACTCTTCTGATAATATTAACTGAAGGAAGCTGACTTGTTCATAAACACAGCCTTTATGTTGCAAGTCCTAAGTAGACTGAATCCACATACACTTGTAAATAGACATCTGGCAAGACCTTGTCGTCTTGCTGTGAGGCTCAGCCCCCTGATGTTCTGGAGCAAAGCAGCTGTGTAAGAAGCAAACATGCTAAATGGTTGTTAGATGTTGTATATCACTGTGGAAAAGTGCACAGAATTGGAGCAGCTGCTGATTTGTTTTTGTATTTTTATTTGACTTTATGTATGAGGAGAGGAGTCTTAAAAAATTGTTACCTGGCAAAATGTGACTACTACTAGTACTTATGCTAAGGTGCATCTAGTGCAGATAGTGAAGTAGACTAGCACCTACTGCCCTAAGTGCTCCTTCTGGCATAAGGGGCTGGGACTCTCATCTGCCATGTATCTCTGTATGCATACATGTGAGAGTGAGAGTTTGGGTTTTTTGAAGTATATTTGCATGGACACTCTTAATCTTAATTGTGGCTGTCCTCCGTTAGTTTTGCGTAGTTGCGCTGCAAGAAGAAATAAGTTGTGCAAATCTATGCAAAACTGACGGTGGCCTGCGTTTCCATCCAAATCCTCTTTGCGCATCGTCTATGAAAGAACAGTCACAGTCTGGTTTCCAGTGCACCTCTGTCAATAATGTAAAGACAAGGTTTCAGTAGTATTAAAGTGCTTATAGTGCAGGTAGTCTTCTTACTGTTTAAATTCTACTGCAATGTGAGCACTTCAAGTACTCCTAGACTACGTCGTCTTGGGAAAACTGCAGGGGTAGCTTATGCACGTGGGTCTCTGGTTAGTTTTGCTGGTTTGCTTTCAGCTTTTAAATGTACTGCTGTGCAAATCCATGCAAAACTGATCATAGAACTGAAAATAATCTATCAGAAGTGATCCCTTTCTGTGCAGGTTGGGAGAGGTGGCAATGCTCTGTGCTTGTGTGGTATTGCACTTGTCCCGGCCTGTTGAGGACACTGGGAATTGTTCTGCAAGTTCTCCCAGGATACTTTCTTAAAATCTGAATTTGATTATAATCTGTTTTTTTTTTTTGTTTGTTTTGTTTTCTATGCGCACCTATTCCTAACAAGCTTTTAAATGTAGGTCACTTGAGAGTTGAGGAAATTTCTTGCTTAGAGCACCTTGTCATATATCTAAGGAAATATTTACTGTATGCAATGTAAATACAATAATTTATGAATAAATACTTAAATGACTCCTTTGTTCAAGTTTTTCTTCAAATATGTAATTCATTGTTAGTTTGAAAACTTGCCTTCAAAATGAGTTTTTGCTTCATGGCATGTCTTAACTGCAGGGTGTACCAATTTCAAAGTGATTTAATCCCACAAGGGTCCTCCAGTGATGATCGCTACACACACTGTCAGGAAAAAGGGGTTTCATGTGTTTCACGCAGTTGCCAGTAGGTTGTATAACAGGAGCAGCTGCATTAACTCCAGACATGCTTGCAAAAGCATGGAGCAAGTTTGTCTATATGTACACTTACCATGCATACAGAGGGGTACACACAAAGTAGTTTTAGATGTCTACTTGTTTGGACAAATATGTAAATAGATGTAAAATTGCATTGCCTTACAAACTTCCCAAAACTTGAACTTAATATTTGTCCTTTGCCCACTGATTTGTGGTCGTTATGCAATCTGTTTTATATGAAGTAAAACAATCAAGTCAGCCCTGTAATGACATGCTTATCACGCTTGCGTTCTTGAGATTCTTAAGTTAAAAATAAATTAAAAAAAATTATATATAATTTTTTTTTAAATTTTTTTTTTTTTTTTTAAACAGTCTTGAGTAATTGCGCGAACATGCCATGCAGCAAAAGTATGTATACTTATAATTGCCAGAAGCTTCCACAAACCCTAAAGTTTCTCAATAAAAAGAAAAAATGCAATTCTGGCAATTCATGGTTCAGGCGTTTAAGGGTTCATGCAAATCCAGAGTACGTAGTTGTATCTACCTTATTAAATGGAAAACTAGGTGAAACCAGTAACCTCTTTAATAAAAATTGGACACTTAAGAGACAAACTTTACAACTTTTAAATAATCTTCCTCGTTTTGCTGAGTCTTAACATGGAAGTGGTGTCTGCTGTCATAGTGTTTTGATATTTGTTGGATTTTTATTATTTGGGGAGTTAAAGTAGAGTTTGCAGTTTTACCATCCTCCAGCAGAGGGAGGTAGCTGTGCATTTAAGTGTTTGCTGGTCAGTGTAAGTGGCCCTGTACTGTACAAATGTAACACATTTAAACTGGAGACATGCAAATTAATGACTCCAAATCTGAAGAAGCATGCGCCCCTTAATGTTCTTAGTTTTCACAAAATTAAGACAATATTGGGTTTTATTTATTTATTTTTTTTTGGTGTCTTGTTCTGCAACGTTTTCTTTTACCTAAACCCCATTGCTATAAATAAGTACTGTGTTAACTGATATCAACTGAGTGAGCGCTCCACTTGTCCTAGGGTTCCAAGATCTAGCAGACTTCTGGTCATTGAGCAGAGTTTCCATTATTTGGCATTGTATGGTAGGCTGGCAGAGGGAGCCATTCACTGGAGTGTTCATCTTTCATTATCATGTCCTCTCTACTTGACAGACAAGATAAATGGGAAGCATCCAGAGAGGACATGAACTCAAAGATGCATTTCTGCTTGTCAGTCCGTGCAGATTGCTCTAGCAACCTCTATTTAAGTTGATGTCGAGAAAGTCCTATACCTTTATTAGACACAGAATGCTGTGTGACTGTGGACTGTTGGGTAAAAAGCAACCAGTGCATTTAAGTTTTTGTCCAGACTTTGAGATCCAACTATAGCTATGGAAATTAAAATAAAGCACCAGAAAGAGTACTCACAATAAAGTCGTATAACTATTTTTTTTTTCTTTTTGTCATACAAGCATGTTGGCTTGTTCCTCGTATAGACCGAAATATCTAGCCTAAAAATTACTAGATGTTAATACATTTTGACAGTAGCCGTTTCCAGAGGATGAATCCCATGACCTTGGTGGGTTTTGACTCTTCTTTTGAATGCTATCACTCGTTTTATAACTTTGACATTTGCACAACTTGTCAGAAACTATCTTGGATGAAAAATGGCTCTGTGGTTTTCTTTGGTAAGCATTAATAACAGTGTTTTTAACTTCATTGTAAAACTATGATTCCAAAGGACTTTTGCTAATTTGCATTGTGCCTGGAAAGGAAGTTTCCTTATTTCTACAAATGCAAATGTGATTTTAATATAGTATGACATAGTTATAGTATGGCAATAGCATGATTTGATTATTCGAGGATGGCATTCAAGTTATCAAATGTTGTTACTATTAGAATGGGAAATGAGTGAATACCTGCTGTTTGTGAAATAAAGCAATTGGAAATTAACATATCGCTTTGCAGTTTGCACCTAATCCCCGCAGTACAAAAGCTCTCTCTCCTGGATATACCAGGCTTTTTGTCTTCTTGCTTGATTGCGTTGTTCATCTTGTAGACCTTCTTAATCTGTATTCAGAGTTCAGCCCCTCTTTTTTTCCCTATCGCCTCATTTATGGAAAGAAATGATAGAATTTTTTACTAGCCCCTTAACCCATTAAAGAGGTATTTTTCAGTCCAGGTTTATTGCATTTTATTGTGAACGGTCTTGCCCTCACTGTCCGCTGCATGAGTAGAGATGACACAGAACCCAATACTCAGGAAGACATTCATTCACTCTTCCATTGTGCCCTCCTTGTGCTTGAATGCCAAATTAAATTGAAGACAAGACAAAAAATAATAATGATAATAATTAAAAATTCCAAATGCCATGTTTCCTTGAGGGTCAAAATGGGATGGGAGCCTTTTTGTACCCACTTAAATTATTTTAGTTCCCTGGTGAAATTTTTGTAGTAAATTTGTCAAGGATAACAGACAAAGAGAATGTGAGCACTTGAGTATGAGTCATTTTTCATGGAGGTGGGTTTTTCCCTTCTTTTTTATTTTTATTTTTTATCAGTGTTTAATACCCCCCAGCTCACTATCCTGAGCACAAACTCTTGTCCTGATAGCAGTTCCTAACCCGGAGCCATGTGTGGCTCTCATGAAGGCCACAATTTAGCAGATACCAATGTGATTTATGTCTAAATCCTAACCTGAACAGGTCTGTAGAGGTACTGCTTTCATGGTTATCAGTCTGAATTATTTTAGAGAAACCTAGCTGGCTCCTCTTAGTACCTATAGGGCTAATTGAATATTCAGAAGGGACCCTGTGTGTGTGTGTTGATGTTATGTCTCCGGGGATTGTTTAATTCTGCTAACAGACACAAAAAAGCCAGTGTGAGCCATGCTGCTGAGGCTGCAGTTCACTGCTGACATTCACTCCAGTCGGGGTCTGTTCCTTCAGCTGACCTCTGCCTGTTAACTATGGCTCTATCTCAAGGATCATGCCCGACCGGAGTATGAACTCCAATTTTACGCATGCATATTGCACACCACAGCTGTCAATTTATGCTAATGCACTTTTGAATCAGCCATGAAAAACAATTAATTTTCTGAGCAGGTTGAGGAGGAGTTTTCTCAAGGAGCTTGATCACAATCTTTAGTGCTGGAACACTTGCTGACTATGTGGCTTGTGAAGTGAGACATCGACTGAATTCAGTGTCTTTTTAAGATTGCAATACAATATCTAGTTTGCTTGATATACTGTACTGTTTATTTTTAGACCTGAAACGATCTTAGCTTATTTACGGCCATATTATAGATATGTTATTTTAGCGCTGAAAACAAACAGATGTGGGTCCAACAGTATTGTGTTTTACAGACACTGCTTGGTCTATTGCTTTGTGTTTAAAAGTAAAGACATAATCATAAAAACCTTTAACATAAAGTTGATATTATGTTTTACTTTAATTGTCCTTTTATGACCAATCATGAATATTTGGAGCAATGAAAATGATTTGAAACATGGATTTTATTTAATTGAAGAACACATACAGGGCGGTTTAAGGATGAATATGGGAAGCTGTGTGTAAAGTAGAGGGCACAGAATGCAGTGTGTGCAAGAGAGAGCATAACTGTGGCTATTCGGTGAATTGCTAAAGCACACAAAATGTCTTTAACCAAACTGCTTTCATGCTACCAATCTCTGACCTATTTTCACTCACTCTTGCTGTCACCTGTCTCTCATTTCCTGTCCTTAGGGAGTCAAAGTTCCCTTTGGCTTGAAAGCCTCTCCAATCTTTTTTCATCTGCCCAACTAATTTCCAGTAGGTCAGCCAGTAAGATGAACTGGCAGAGGTTTCAGTGCTGCAGATGTTAAAGCATCAACTGCTCCACAGTTTTCTGGCCCCGAAGTGTGAGAGGCAATTTCAGGGTTATTAGTGAAGTGACAGCGGTTTTACTGTATTTCATATGTACATCTCCGTGGACACACAAAATCTGAAGTTGCATCAAATGATGTAATGTTTTTATGTGTTTATGAATACAAATGAAAATCAAAAAATTTAAAGATGCTTTTTATGGTGCCAACGCAGTGTGGGAGCTTTATCTTGTCAGGATTATTTTATTATTATGTATTTAAAGAAGCTAAACTAAACTAAAGAACAAATAAAGTGAACGCTTCGGTTTTGGTCATAAAGGGAGAAATGGTCTGATGTTCAGTGTTATTTATTAGTAGAAAACTTACATTTTTGTGTTTGCAAAGCTTATTAGCAGTTTTGTTTTTTGCAGGCTGGAGCTTTTTTGATTCTAAACAACTGCTTGCTGCGTTTGGAAAGAGATTGATGAAAGCAGTGAGACTTAACAGTAACACTGTGGGTTGTAAACCTAAGACACTGAGCTAAGCAACACTAAAAGACCACTGAATTAAGGAGAACCACAGAGTTTGGTGGGAAATATCCACATACAAATACTGTTTGACTTCACTAAGAACATTATGCATTCCTATAGCAAATATGTGTTTGGTATTTTCTAATTCTTATGTATTTATTTAGCTAAAGGTTGCACATTAGTATTAGCAGGATGAATGAGAGTGATATACTTCCATGATGGTTGAAGCTGCGTACAGTGCATCCAAAAAGTATTTACGGAGCTTTACTTGTTCGACATTTTGTCAGGTTACAGACTTATTCCAAATTGATTAACTTTTTTTTAATTCTCCACATAATCCCCCATAATGACAAAGTGAAAATGTTTGCTTGATATTTTTGCAAATTTATTAAAAGTAAAAAAAAAATATATA